AAATTTCATGGCATTTTCTTTGTGCTGACGATAAAATTCAGTGAAATTTCCAAACAGAATCAACCAACTATTTTTCTGTAAAAAAACGAAATGGCGGCGGAAATTTTGAAACGTCGCATAGCGCTTGTGATACTTTGGTCTGGAGGAAACGACATCTGCTCCTGCATTATAAAGCTAATGGCATTTACGTTTTTTTCCAAAGTGAGCCTAGAACAATAAACGTGCCCATTTACGAATTTGGATTAAACAATTTTTTTCTAAAATCAACACAAAAGCCACCAAAATGCTTTTCATAGTTTTGGACTACCTCCTACAATTTTTAGTGCTAAGTACAATCGAGACCTAAAGAGTATCAAACCCTTAATCTAGAGAGAAATTTCAGGGGTTGCCAGGGAGTTTTTAATATCTTAAGGTTCTTAACAGTCCAAAGTATCGGTTACTATTGCAGCGGGCGGGGCATGATCTATACAAATGCCCATTAGTTAAATACTTCTTTAACTTAAGATCTTTAGCAATTTAAACCATGCTATAGAAGAAATATTTTTTTTAGGACCTTGAAGGACCTGAGATCCCATGTTATTCCTTGTTTTGAACTATTTCTGAGGTAAAAATTGAATCCGAAGTTGAAAATGATTGCAGAATACCAATTTCTGTGAGTTTTGGTGCATAAAATCGTCCCTAATATTTAGGCAAAAAACTTTGTCTTTTGCAAATTTGAGGAGGATAAGGCTTTAGCTATGACTGGGGGTTGATTTGGGATTAAAATTTATAGAAGGAAAAAGTTGGATTATCATTCAAGGGACACGCGCCTGCAGTATAACTAGTCGTTTAACTCTGAGACATCCTGTATACAGTGGCGATTTTGCAGTTAGCAAACTGTCAATTATCCATTTAAATAAATGAAAAATATCGATTTTAGATAGACAAACTGATTCACCGAGAATCAACTGTTTAACATGCATTTAAATGGATAAAAAACAGTGTTGCCAACTTACAAGAATCGCCACTGCATACATTTCTACCCTTTCGTTAAAGTCTCTAGACCATTAAAATTCAAACCCGTTCATCGAAAACGATAAGTTCACTGCTGACTGATTTAATGCAATTTATTTTAACGTCTATATCTTTTTGTCAAAGTCTCTAAAGGATTTCATAGTCTCTAAATTTAATTCATATTTAAATGATACACTGGAGAAAAAACACATTGGATCTAGAGTCCAGACTCTTAAAAACATCGGCAAGAAAAAATACTCTTGACTCAATCAGATTAATTAAGCTTAAATCAAGAACCAAGCCTCTTAATTTGAGCGGATTTCCTTTTGATTTAAGCTTAAATCTGACTGAATCAAGAGTCCTTTTTCTTGTCAATATTTTCAAGAGTTTGGACACTAGATCCAATGAGTTTTTTTTTTCCAGCGTGGGAACTAAAAATTGAAATGGTATCAAATCGTCGGTTTTCGGACAAAGGAACGTAACTCGAATGAAACTTTATACAACCTACAGTTTATTTTAGGATAGTTTTCAATGAAAATAATAGACTAAAAGCATATATCCTACTTCACAAATAGAATCTCTACATCAAGAGGTGACCCTGCTCATAAGTTGAGTCTAAACTACAGGGAGGCTTTACTTAATCATGGCGGTAAACTATCCTTTACTTTACTGATTTTCGATCCTCCTAACCTCAAAGTTGATAGCTTTTTAACAGATTATAAAGTGCTCATAGACGAGGCCAAAAGAGCTATCATGTTCTCAGCAAACATGTATGCAGAAATAAGGTTACTTGAATAGACCCTAAATTGCACACTCTTGCTGGAACTACTCTACGTCTTTTCAATAATGAATCAAAAAATAGAAGTATAACCTGAGAAAAACAGTATTTAACCTATTATTGACAGATTAGATGCATGATTTTGAATTTAACATAGACCATAATCTTCCGGTTGTTGTCTTTAATATTATTCAATTTCGAAATGATTATTTCAGTGTCAGATGAGAGCAAAAGATCTTGCTGGCACGACCCAATTCCTGACCAGGCGCTGTTACAAGTAGATTTACAAGAGGAGGGAATTGATTACGAACAGGTAAGCAAAACTGAATTACGACCATCCCTGATTAAATGGATGTACTAAAAAAGCTTTATGGGAAACCAAATTATAGGCTATACATCATGAGTGGAAGGGAACAGAAAGAGATTTATATCAAGGCTATGGACTCACGGATGCCTTATGTCCATTTGTATCAAGTTCGGGAATACCTGCATTTAAAATCCGTATTCGCAAATAACCTCACTTAAATGACCGTGCATGATAGGTTCTTCCACTTAGAGCATGACTGTCAGATTTCACCCTACGAAGAATATCTTTATAAATGCATCATAAAACTGAAGTAAAGGAACTGCTGAGACGTTTCAATTGGTGGGACATTGAAAATGGTTTATACGTGCTCATTTAAGTGTCAGATGCACTTTGACACATTCTAACTAAAATGCATCTCAGTTGCCAATGCTGACTGCCACATTTCACTTTCGCTAACATAACATTTATTCTTATTAAATTGTAAGGTTTTGCGGGACTTTCGATCATGTTATTCATATCCTGTTGAGGTATAATTCCGTGCAAAAATAATCCCGGTTATTTTCCTTTCAATTTTAGAAGCGATGGGTATGTTTTCAAAACTAAGAAACTTTACGATACAATATGTGCTAAGAGATTGCAGAGTATCAATGAAAAGTAAGCTTTCAGACGAAACAGGTTTTAATGTTTGGTCTATCGTAAAGCGTCTTAGCGTCCTTTGGAACAGTCTCATGTTTACCCTCGTTTTTACGATTCAATATGCCAATCTTTGTCATTATTTTTATACAATTTCATTTCTCTAAATGAGACGAATAATATTTTAAAATTAAATAGCATACGATCAGCACCTCCCCTCACCCCAAAATACTGTGATTTTTTATCAAGTAGAATACACTTTGTATTCTCTTGATCCGATGGTCATGATGAGAGCAATTTTATCGTTTGAACATGAAAGCACTGGCGTATTTGAGGAAACGTGGCAACTGCCTCTACTCGATTTATCGATCACCACGTGTGAGTTTTACGACTTCATAATCGATATTGGTCAACCGTGAAGTGCACTTAAATGTCGATATTCACGCATGCAAATCCACCCACTCAAGGCTGATGGTGCGGTCGCGATGAGTAGAGCTATGATCGCTTTCAATTTCGTTTCTCGGATAGAAGTACTGTAAGATACTTCCTGATTTCCAAAATTACCGGAAACTCAGATTTTTTAGTAGGAACCCGGAAAATCATCATTTAAATACTCTGCAATGCTAAGGAAAAACGCCGTATGAACTTCAGGCGTTGCCAAATTTCCTTTCATATAACGCGAATTTTCTGGTGAATTTGCGAATATTTTCCTCCCAATTTGCCGAATAATTTAATTCGCAATTTTACCTAAAGATTCTGAAAATTTAATGGAAAAAAATACATAACTTTCCTGAAAAATAAACATTGTATTGAAGGAAATTTGGCAACTCTCGAATTTTCTTACGGCGTTCTTCCTTAGCACGGCAGTATTGTCAGAGGTTTTGGTATAAATTTCAAGTTTTAAAATTGCCTTGTTTATACTAAAAAAAACAAGGAGCAGCAATTCAGAAATGTCGCAACAAAATACTTGGTTTTGCACTTAGGCCATTGATTAGGTATTTTCAGCACCGGAGAATTTTAGTTGCATCAAGGCACCAATGTCAAAATGGTGATTGATATTTTTGCCTCAGGTTGAGTAGCACAGTTTTTAAATTGTGAGAAATTCACATAATCCGTATTAATGCAGTTTCTATATAATGAGAAATTCGGGTCATCCGTATCAGTGCAGCTTTCGCTCGTTAGTGGAATGCTAGAATAGCAAAGAAACACAAAACGCCTTCATATTTTACGTAGGCAACATAGGCTGCTCTGGAACACGATTAGTTGCATCAAGGCGCTACAGCCAAAGTGATTATTAATATTGCAGTCTCTGGTTTCAAAAGTTTTGTTTTTGCTCGTGAGTAGAACGGTAGAAGAGCAAGACACGGCATGACGCCTTCATCTTTTGCGTAGGCAACATGAGCGGCTTGAAACGAGAACAGTTGCATCAAGGCGCTGCAGTCAAAGTGATGATCGAGATTGTGACATCAAGTTGCGTAACGTAGTGTCTCTTTGTGAAAAGACAGCTAATAAGGCAAGACAAGGCTTTACATTTTTGTGCAGGCAACATGCGCCGCGTATTTTTAACTGTCTTTCGACAGCATGAAAAACAAATCAGCAGACACCAAAATATCGTTCTGGAAAGAACTTAACATTCCGAGCTCCGGTGAAAATTCAAATAAAAAACACTAATGCTTATTGAATTTTGACTGCAGTGTAAGCGGCGATGTGAGACGGAGCAGTATTTCAACTGCCTCGGGTTCACTCATCATTGTCCGTTGGAAAAGAACGATGGAAAGACCTTATGTCAGTTGCACAGTGACGACAGAATCAGTGCCGGCCCGCTTGCTCTCCGCTACTCACAGTGTGCATCCTATACCGAACGCCTTCCATGCATTGACTGTAAGATATTCATTTAGCTTTCCTTTTGTTTGCTGCTGGTGAAATGGCTTTCATTTTTATCCCTTTTCGATATTTCCAAGGTCGTCTGCTGGAACATTAAGAAAAAAATGTCATCTTGAGTCAAAATAAACTTTGATAAAATATTTCTCGCGGAAGAATTCCATTTGAATCAGTTGGATATCTTTACTAAAAAAAAAAATACCCTGCCCAACTGTGAGGGTGCACGTACCTTGCGCAGAAAGGCTAGTAATGTTCTATCTCCTTTTAATTTGCATAGTGCTCAGTATCATTTAGATATTACGGTGGCCTGAACCAAATCAGTCCAACTGCATTCACGTTGTCAATTAATATGTCTAAATTATAGGCATAGGTACCTAATGCACAACTTTAATATGCTGAGAAATAGAAAAAAGTGAGATAATCAGAAAACTGTAAAATGTGGTTTTTACACAATACAATATGAGGATGGCATGATCAGACAGGCTCCTAATACAGTTACGTAGGTTGTTTGAGGTTTTAGTAATTTCATAACAATTAAAGGATTTTTTCAAATTATTTCACAAGTAAAATAACCATTAATAACATTTTTTCAAATGTTACTTGTGGTTAATTTTACCGTGCTATTTGCAAATATAATTTGTTCCCAACGCTGTTAGGGTGATTTAACCTACCATTTATATTTTTAGTGCCTGTCCTTACTAACAGGAATTTTATCACCAAAAAATTCGTTACTGTGTTTTAGTAACTGTTTCTTGCTCCCAGAGACTCATGTCTATTACTTTACATTCGAAAGGATTTAACGGTCGACTTTTCGCCTTGGGTCACTCTGATTCGTGTGGTGTTTCTGGCCGAAATCAGATTAAGACAATTTTGCCAATCCCATTGACGCAATCGACCAACATGTGCGGGGTTATCATCGCGTACTCTTCCGGGGAGTACAATCGGTAAGTTAAAAGCAGCGTTTTCCGTATGATTGTCGGAGTAAGCCGCAATTTTTTGATAACATTCAACAAAGAACTTGGTACAATTCTAATTCCTAATAGCACACTGTAAACATTTTAAAATGAAATTTGTTAAAATGGACCAATAAGGAAATGCTTGAGAGAAAATGTTTCGTAAAAAAACTATATGAAAAATCAAGTCCACCCTTCCAATTGTCTGAGCCATCCGCTCACTAGTCCTTACGTGAATCATTAAAAACAAAAAGGGCACATGTCCAGAAAACCAAATTGTTCAGGAGACAAAAAAACTGTTTATTTCGTGGTAGGTAGATATTTTTTTAAACATAACGACTTTCCAAAAAAATATCTACCACGAAATAAACAGTTTTTTGTGTCTCCTGAACAATTTGGTTTTCTGGACATGTGCCTTTTTTGTATTTAGTGATTCACGTAAGATTCTTGAGCTCTCATTTTACAAATTTCCACAGGCAGTGGCGATTTTACAAGTAGGCAACACTGTTTTCCTTCATTTAAATCCATCGAAAATATCAATTTATATGGTAAAGCAGCTGAATCGATTGTTTTACATACGTTCAAACAGAGTAAAAACAATGTCGCTAGGTTTCAAGAATTTTCACTGTTCAAACTTGTAAATATATGTACATGCTAGAACATGAATGGCACACACTTATTCGTGATCCACTAGTCGAGATCGGCGTTTTACATGATTCTGGGTACAGGATCCACTACAAGGAAAAACGCAATGGTGTATTTTATTTGGAAAATGCCCTTAAACATGTGCCCCTTTGAGAATGGTGACATTGCAAACTGCCTGTCATCTTCCACTTCCTTTCTTAAATGTAATCAAACCCTCTTCAATATCGAATTTTTTCATTGCAGTATTCACAATGTGCTACCATTCCACGCAGATTGTGGAGAAAATGGCATATTTCAAATTTTGCCGATGCAATTAACGTGATTTTTAGGTCATAATCTGTAAGAATTCATTTTTGCTCTACAGCTAAAGTTTTACAGATCCATACGTTTTGACCCTCGCGTCACTATTTTCTTGTATTATCACTTTCCAGTTCGACTGTTTAATGACTTGAACTGTTGCAGGACCGTCGCTAGTGCCATAGTAGTTGTCCAAAGACATCCAATCATTCAAACTGCAGGTGACAGGGTCGTTAAGGTGTCTTGTGCCATTCCCGATGATACTACACCGTACAACTATCCGAGGCCCTCCTTCAACAACATCACGCTGGACACTAGTTTTGGAGTTTCCGATCCAGGGTAGGAATTCGACAACTTAGAAACTATAAAGTAGCTCTAGTATGTGTCAGATATTTGCGATTTAAGTAATGACTTCTAAGTAGAATTTTACAAGAAACACAAGAGCGCCACTACTTTTCTCTGAAATCAACTCCAAAGTCCATAAAAAGCAAAGCGATTTAAATAATGATTTCCAAGTAAAATTTTGCGAGAAACACGAGAGCGTCACTACTTTTTTCTGAAATCAACTCCGAAGTCCATAAAAAGCTCTCAAACTCGGTCTATGGCGTCATCCACCACGGTCGTGACGCACTTGCTTTCTTCCACATTATGCTTTCATCTAAGTTTTACGTTGAGTGACCAGTGAAAATGTGCGTCTTCCTGACTGATGAAAGCAAGGTGGAAGAAACCAAGGGTGTCACTACCGCAGGGAATGAAGCCATGAACCAAATTTTTCGAAGCGCGATATCTCTGTTTAAATTCAACGTTTGCTGTTTGGAAAAATATTATTATTCTGAACTGATCTACAATAATTAAGCATCGAAACCCAATTTTGTGACCGGAGCAACTGACCCATTAACATTTATCTGATGGAAAATATACAAATGACGTCATATGTATAATGTAATAATTTTCATTTGATCTATGTTACATGTACTTGTTAATATCTTGTTGAGGAGTTGATTTCCAAACTGACCATTGCGTGTAAACTGTCATACACGTAATATTTTGAGGAGGAAATATGGGACGTTTTCTTCCAGTCCAGACCTTATGTAGTTGCCCATTGATAGTTGGCGTTTTGTCAACTATAATGCATGTGCACAAAACTACATCGACGGTGAAACTACCAGACTGCGTATCTCGGTTTGTGACGTCGTTGCAGACTTCTCGTCATACTTTATTTTTTAAATGTAAAACTTCCGATCGGAAGTTCTTGAAAACTGCCGTAATTTTCAGGGCCGCCCATGGGTTGCCTGTAATTTGCCGCCCCCTTCTCATTCATTTTGAAACTCGATATAAATTATCAAGTGAACGTGCCAGTGGGGGAGGGGTGAATAAGACGCTTTTACTCGTGTTGAACACATTTTTTTGGAAAGCCCTGTCAACACTACTAGCAAAAATTCACGAAACTTTGCGCGAAAGTTAATTTCCGTAAACGTATCTCTGTGTGGAAGATCTCATGTTTGGCGCAAAGCGTGAAGTATTCAGACAGTCTTGTAGGCGCTATGCGTTTCACGCCGACCGCTGCTAAAAGCACTGTGTTGGACGCATTGCGTGAAGTATTCACGCAGTCTTGTAGGCGCTATGCGTTTCACGCTGATCGCACTGTGTTTGGCGCATGAGTGAAGTATTCATGCATTCTTGTAGGAGCTATCCGTTTCACGCTGACCGCAATGACCGCACTGTGTTTGATGCAATGCGAGAAGTATTCGTGCAGTCTTGTAGGCGCTAATATGTGTTACATGCCGATCGCCGCGCCGAGGGCTTCTCCTTTTCATCTCAAGTTCTCGTTATCTTTTCTCTCTCAGTCAAATTGCGTGTTTGGTTTCTCTCTTAACTCGACTTATTGAAGGTGCTGTCTCTTGTATCACTAAGAGACGACAAAATTAGAATTACTATACTCTTAGTAAATGAGAGATTTTGTCGCCTTTTCTCGTTTGTAATTTTTTTTTTCTGAATCCGATTTTTTTTATACCTACACTTAAAAAAATTGCAAATTTTTGCCGCCCCTTAGATTTGCCGCCATGGGCCGCGGCCCATGTGGCCACCCCCTTAATCCGGCCCTGGTCATTTTTCTTCTGTGTTTGACGAAAATTCTTTGAAAACTTCAAGGTTTGATATTGCATTGTTCTCCTTTAAAAAATAAAGTACTAATAAGTTCGGAAAATTTTAAGAACCATAAACGAGATACATGGTTTGGAAGTTTCACCATTGATGTAGAATACATTATGAAAATCATTTATGACAATCACAAGTTAGAGCTATTTCAGAGGTATGTACTTTTTCTCACACTCATTTGAGTCTGTTACTCTTCCTAGGGGCACTAACGGGCTGTACAGCGAGACAATCAGCAACATTAGCAGCACTCCACCAACTTATCAGTCTCCACCGATCGCGAGACTCAGAGTTCGAGATTTATCTCAAGGAGGCGAAGATGCGACTGAAACCATGCTAGGAGATGATCTGGAGTTCAGGGTTGATATTGATCCTCCTTACAGTAAGTCTATTTTTAAGATATAGCAGAAATAGGGAGTATAAAAAATTCTACTCAGGATATTGTTCAGCTTTTCAAAAGAGTATACAAAGCATTGTTTTCTCCAGAATCCTCAGTATGAAGTGCGCTTCAACCTCTCAAAAAAGTTTCGAGTTTAGCCTTGGATAGACGATCAAATTCTGAACCAATTCCGATCAAAGTAGACATGCTGATGGCTGATGGTCACCATGTACCATCAAATTTTCACGAGCCGCACTTATTTGTTCAAAGTAAGTTCAGAATGGAGTGCCACCATTCATCATTTCCTGCCACGGGAAACATTTCTGCCAAGTTTTCATTTTAAAAAGAAGCCAATTAATGAGTTTACGACTGATGACTCCCGACACTTTGATGCTACTTTGATCGGAATTGGTTCGGGAATTTGATCGTCTATCCACGGCTTTTGGTTCGTGTTCATGCATCTTTGGAACCAAAACTTACGTGAAATTAATGTTAAACTCACTTCAAACGACTGAAATGTATGAAGAATTTGGAACAATCAGGCAGGAACTAAAATTTTTGGTTCAGTTGTAAAAACACAAATGTGCGCAGGAAAATCAATAACACTTACGTTGTTTCTAAACTGAGCAAGAAATTTTAGTTCCGAATTGTAAAATTTGGTCGGATTGATCACTGTGAATTGTAATTACAGATGTATCAGTGCTGAAAGCCGGTCATCTGGTGGCGAGCTCTGGGGACGCCCGTGACTCTCTTCTACTCCTCGATTGGCGGGGGTGCCCCCCCGAACCCCAAACGTTCCCGGCGCTCACCCCTGAAGGACCTAACTCCTTGGTCGCCGTATTCAAGGCCTTCAGGTTTCCATCGTCGCCGATCTTGAGGTTCAGCCTTGTTCTCACACCGTGCGAGAAGAACTGCCAGCCTGTGAGTTTTTATTTTATTTTTTAAATGTTTTTTTTTTAATTTTGAATTTTTTTATTTTTTAAATTTTTTTATTTTTATGTTCTTATTTATTATTGTCTATTTTTTATTATAAAAGATTTTTCCTCTTTTTTTGGATAACCCTCAAGGCAAAGGTTGTTATCTTAAAATGAATCACTGTATTCGGTATTCCCAGTTTGCCTCGTTGAAAGTGTTCTTTACAGTTATACATCATTCATCTGTACATGTGTCTGATAAAATCAAACGATTTTCACAACGAGAAGATGATTCTGGAGGCTTGTCATCTAAACATGTACTGCTGGAAAAAAAGTCCGGTGTTCCACCATCTCAATTAATGTTTTTGTCAAACAGAACTTTCAGTTCGTGTTACCGCAGTTCGGTTCGTGCATCTGAACTCATGAAGTACTGTAAACTGATGAAAGAGTATCGGTGACGTAGATCCGATAGTTCGATCGGACGGACCGAATTCACATGATATGGAGCACCGAACGCTCGGTTCATAAGACCAAACCTTTTTTCTTCGAGGACACCTGATTTATTCCCACTGTAAATATTTTCTAGGTTTACTGCGGTAATGGTGTATCCTCTTTGGGTCGGACGAAGCGTGCAACCCTTCAGATGCAAGAAATCCCTCTACAGCTCTCGATCATTGTTAGACCTCTTGATATCAACGAAACAGCGAACACGACGGACACGTCCCGACAGCTTCACTCAGGTACAAAAAGTGGATTCGGCCTTTTTAAACCTTATTATAACCATTAATGGTGAGACAACATTGTAAAACTGAGACAAAAATCAAATTTTCAAAGACTGCAAAATTCAGACGACCATTTTGTTGTTGGTAATTGCCATATTTCTACCGGGAAGACTGATTTTTTTTTTTTTACCTTTTGGTTGGGTGCCTGAGATTCATGAAAAATAGAAAAGTGGATCGAAGAACAGAAATTAATAAAATCGTTGGTGTGACGAGACGATAATAATATTGAAGCTTAGAATATGACTGACAGGAAATGGATCGGATTCAAATTCATATAATTTTATATAAAATCCAATAGGAATTTTTCATTACCATTTACTCAAAAACAAAAAATTGGAAATGTAGAACCAACGTGCGTTATTATTCAGTAAACTGAAAATCTCAATACAAAGAGGTTGTTCCATCTACCATTGAAACTGGGCCCATAATGAAATCTCCTCATCTTTTCAGGTATCAAAGGGCATGGTCAGGGACACCCAAAAATGGTTGAATTCTTTCCAAATTCCCCCCTGGGGAGGGGGGGAGGGGGGTTATATGAAAACGGTTTTTTGGCTATAACTTTTGAACGGTTTGAGATATCGATTTGAACTTTTTTTTAAATGAAAGGTCGTTTAAAGAGCTTTCTTTTGGTATATTATGTTTAATAGTTAGGTCAATTTTTGACCAATTTATGGCCTGTCAAAAATTTTCCATGAGTCCAAAAATCAGATTTCTGTAGTTTAGAGCAGCGACGATCGCATGCAGATGAACAAAAAACTGTTCAACTTATAGCCCTCTCTCTGACGGTTAAAATGAGCCCAAGATCATTTTGGGGAAACGATTTGTCTCCGAGTTATGCTTCTTCAAAGTTGGCGCGGCGGGGTCCGCTACCGCGGGGCAGCGCTCCGGAGTACGATAGTTCACTCCCACCCCCCTCCCGTCATGCCACGCGACGCAAACCGAGGAAGACTACCTTTAATGATCATTTGAACAGATAAATGCACACAATATACGCTATTATGGTGTACAAGTATTATTAAAATTATATTAATATAATAAATAGAAGAGTGGAATCTCACCGAATTTATCATCACCGCAATCCATAGGATCATCGGCAGTGTGATCCGCATTTTCATCCTCATCTTCGTCGTCTGAAAAGCCAAAATCGACTTTTCTGAGAGGGAAGCACTCGTTCAAAAAGGCTGAAGGCGCTGGTTTTTTGTGATAGCGCCCGTAAAACAAATACGAGCACAAGGATTGATGGTACGCGCACCGTTCTTACATGTGCAGTAACTTGCTTTAATGGCCTCGCTGGATTTTTTACTGGTGTCGATTAATATAAATATATGATATTCTTTTTTTGATTTATGCCTCGATAGGATCCGCGATCGAAGAAAAAGAGGCGAATTTACGGAAATATCATATTTTTGAAAATCTGGCAAAAAGTTATCCTTCGTCACTTGAAAGCAATATTTTCCATTAGCAAAATGGTCTGCAATATAACTTGCTGCAAGTCCAATTTGATAACTTCCCGAGAGGGTGTCAAGATCTTCGCTCCTCCACTGTTCTAATTGTTCAAAATGATCTGTCGTCAGGTTTTCAAAAACTACTTTTTTTCGGAGCCATTTCTCGTCCTCAACAATTTGTTGCACAATATTCGGCTCATTTAATTTTTGGAGCATTTGAATGGCAATTTTTGCGTCGTCACCATCACTTTGCAGGCGTTGAAAATATAAATTATGTATCGCGGACACTATGCGATAGTCGTCAAACAAATTGCCGGATCCAGGTATATTGCTTCTCGTTTTATAGAGCGTTTTCAATATAATTTTAATAATACTTGTACACCATAATAGCGTATATTGTGTGCATTTATCTGTTCAAATGATCATTAAAGGTAGTCTTCCTCGGTTTGCGTCGCGTGGCATGACGGGAGGGGGGTGGGAGTGAACTATCGTACTCCGGAGCGCTGCCCCGCGGTAGCGGACCCCGCCGCGCCAACTTTGAAGAAGCATAACTCGGAGACAAATCGTTTCCCCAAGATGATCTTGGGCTCATTTTAACCGTCAGAGAGAGGGCTATAAGTTGAACAGTTTTTTGTTCATCTGCATGCGATCGTCGCTGCTCTAAACTACAGAAATCTGATTTTTGGACTCATGGAAAATTTTTGACAGGCCATAAATTGGTCAAAAATTGACCTAACTATTAAACATAATATACCAAAAGAAAGCTCTTTAAACGACCTTTCATTTAAAAAAAGTTCAAATCGATATCTCAAACCGTTCAAAAGTTATAGCCAAAAAACCGTTTTTCATATAACCCCCGCCCCCCCTCCCCAGGGGGGAATTTGGAAAAAATTCAACCATTTTTGGGTGTCCCTGACCATGCCCTTTGATACCTGAAAAGATGAGGAGATTTCATTCGGGGCCCAGTTTCAATGGTAGATGGAACAACCTCTTTGTCTGCAGATTGAAAGCTGACAGCGATGAGTCGAGAGTAAGGAAAACCCATGCGCTCTGCAGTGCGGAAGATTGCAGCGCAAGCTCGCATATTCTCCCCCACCCCGTTCATCATCATCGTCTCCCCCTTTTTCGAATCCCTAACCAATAATCTCCTAGGAATTTCTTTATTTCAATTTTTATTACTCCATTCTTCCTTTTCCGCATGCTTTCTTTCCAGCGTGGGGTTGAGTTCCGAGGTTGCCACGCCACGTGTTTGTCTTGTGCCGAGAGCGGAGGCTGCCTTTGCTCTTCTGCCGTGCTGAAAAAGAACGACATATCTGTCTTCAGACGTTGCCAAATTTCCTTCGACAAATCACGGATTTTCATGAAAATTTGTGAATATTTTTCTTTCGATTTTTCGGAGAATTTTGTTCGTAATTTGAACTGAGGTGTCTGAAAATTTCAAGGTAAAACATTCATAGCGTTCTGCGAAAATAAATATTTCTAAGATGAAATTTGGCAACATTGGAATGCTCATACGGCGTTTTTCCTTAGCACGGCAGTCTTGTATAAGATGATGGATTTGTCTAGACGGAGAGACACCGGGCAGCACTGGAATTACCCTGTGCGCGTGGGTTTGCGCATCGAGTCAGAGAGCATGATTGATCTTACAATGTTAGAGTTAGCTATAATTTCGCGAGAGCCGTTCATTCCTTGGATAATGCTTTCATCTTTTTTTAAATTACTTTACTTCGTCTCTCAATGTATTATATTTAAGTGCCGCATTAATAAATCAGCCGTGATATCAAACCTGGTGTAATTAATACATTAATTTCAGGATGCTCAAAAAATCACTACAGATTTCGATGTAACACAGGGTCTCCACCTCCTAGAGTTTCAAGGCATATCATCGCCTCTCTGACGTAAGAGCGTATATCAATTTCTATGTGAGCCCTGCTTTATCAATGAATCCATGCCTGCTGGGGCTCATTCAGAAATGAAGATATACCCTTTCATCAGAGAAGAGACGAGATTATGAAGCATGGGTGTAAGATATGCTTTAGGCTTATTCTTTCTTTTCGGTGTTACAAGTATCATTGTAACAAAAAATATACCATCCCTCACCATTGAAAACTTCTCAAACTGCATACTGGGAGCTTATTTTGTTGTATACTGACAGAGGAAAGTGACTCTGTTTTTACTGAAGCCTCTTCGTAAAACATGAAATGACAAAATCGAATTGCGTCATTCCAAGGTGTAGTTATGCTTTTTATTCATAAAGAGACGATTTCATGTACCAAAATAGATGTGTTGAAAAAAGAGGTGGAGGGGAGACATCAAATTCCGTTTCAGCTTTGAAAGTGCGCGGCGGGACCCTTACCTTCATAAAGATTCAGCGCAGAAAAAACAATTGAAAGTAAGAATTAAAAGTCATTAGGCTTTTCCGATTCGAACATGTAAGTGCTTCAAAATTGATCAAAAGTCAAAGTACAACAATCTTGCCACAAAGCACTTTTTTGGTCTTCTAACACACACGCGTTTGAATTCGGATACAAGAATCTTAGTTAAGAGGTAGAATCGGATGTCTGCGATAGAGTCCCTTTATACCCAGAGTTACGACAACTCACTTTTGGTTGGGCCAGGATTGGGCTGAAAGTGGCCTAAAAAAAAATCCAATTCTGATTGGTTCTCGCTCATGGAGGCCGAAACTAGTGCACCAAGATGGCGGTACCTCGAATGTGAACAAGAATAATGAAAATATTATCTAATTGTGGTTTATCAAGAGTAAATTGTTATTTCCATCGGTCCAAAATGAAAATAGATTAAGAAATTATTCACAAACCAATCTCAATTTGTTGATGTTGTTGTTTCTGTGTGACAGACATCGCAGGATTCCTGATCCTTATCCCCCAATATCGTTCGTTTGAGTGCACTAGTTTCGGCCTCCATGGCCAGCCAAGGTCGGCTGCCAGTCAGCTGATAATCGAGTTGTCGTTACTCTGGGTATAAAGGGACTCTAGTCTGCTTTATACCAGCTCGGAATGTAGTTAGTGATTTCTCGGAAACTTTGGACTGACTCAACCGTCTCATGTGAGAAGGAGAGTTTCATGCAAATTAAGTGTTCGGATTACTTTGCACACGCTGCAAGGAGAACATACAGCTTTTACTTACGTTATCCTTTAATTAACCAACACGTGAGACAAACTTCTATTTTCTAAACGACACGGATGGTTCTATATAAATGAGTGAGACAAAGATTGAGAGTGAAATGTGCATATAGAGTATATTTTAATCTATCTTTCATTATAAATGCATTAAAAATAAAATCTCGGAATGTCCCAAAATAATCGTAAATTTTGAAAATGTTTTTATGTTTTCATTGTGTTTCATGTGTTAGGTATATTCGTATGTCTGTATCCATTTTGATGGCAAAAGGTGTACTTAATTATTCATCATTGAAATACTAACATGGTTAAGAATTCCAGATTATAATAATAAAAGTATGACCCTGGATTAAAAGAGCTATCCAAGTTTAATCAACTAAAATATCCAACAGTAAGACTACGGCATGAAAATAACAGTGTCTTCTCAGTACGTAAAGATGAAAGCTCATGGAATTTGTGAGCTTTTTATAAGCATCTCGGTTTAAAAGAGAAAATGACATGAAAAATCGTTGGATGATAATGTAATGGAATATCTTGGAACAGAAATTCTCCTATGTAACCTCAACACATAAAAACTGAGAAAAACTTATCTAGGGATACTGCCATAGAGCCGCGAAATACTCACATCACTCAAATGTATACATATCGACGTTGACATAAATTGTACAGTGAATTGCTTTCGACCACAAGAAATATGGCTGCGTTGCCAGCTATTTAAACAAACTTGAATATGCAAGCTGCTCCTGCGTGCCTTCTAGAGAGGTGAATTACCTGATAAA